CCCCAGTGCAGACGATTATGCTCTCGAAGTTACCGTCGGAATGAACGATTCGGCAAACTATAAGACAAAAGACCCAACTTAAATTACAACTAAGCTATCAGAATTAACGCAATAGGCTTAGCTTCAGCTTAAATCGCCAACAATACGGCTTGGCGACATCGGAATGGGCTTTCAATTATCCGCTTTTAAAGGGCATGGGCCGTCGGGCGATATGGCAACTATAAAAGACCCAAAACAGTTGTCAGGTCACGTTTCTCAGAGTGGATAAAAATTAAAAGGAAGGCTAATCATAAATTCTTCAGCAGATAGCAGTTGGCTGCGCCCTCTTGTCCGTCATTCGTCATTAGGGCAGAAATGACTGGTGTGCACCACTTAGAACTTGTGCAATGCTGTTGGAAGTTGGAAATGCGTTCAACCAGAAACAACCTATATCAGCAGTTCTATCTAAAGACGGATAGTTCATTGTATTTGCTGCTAACTTAGATTCGATAACATCCTAAAGCGGGTACGCGTCAAATGACCTAAATCGCGTCCTATAGCAGAAAAACCTCCAAATAAGGAATGCAAATTTTGGAGAGGGGTCCTGTTAAGTGCGACTGCAGCAGACAAATGCAAGGAAAGTCAGGTGATCTCGAATCCACGCATGTTGACGAAAGGCAGATGAATCCCCTCCGACACGAAACACTCTCTGAAACTGCTGATGCCCGGACCGTTGCGTTATTTGCGACATTAGACTCGCTGCTTGTTCATACACGTGCAAGCGACGGGGTGTAGCGTTAAGTCAGACCGCTTATAGCTTAGCCGCTAATTAAAACATTCTCTTCCATGCAGAAATTTGAGCCAGACCAGTGTTTCATAAGAGACAGGATTTGATGATACCATCAAATCTCGTGGCTTCTTGGCTGAACTTGGTTTTCGCTTAATCGTAACAATATGGAAAAACCGTAGAGGGATACGGTAATCACTTTCCATTTCACGAGGATGGGCCTGATATGAGGGAGTCGAAGGAACGCGACGAATTCGCATCCATCCATTACTAAGCCGTTGCGAGTTTATTGATCTGATCCAATTTCATCTTCGAATGACGCGTTTCCTGCGCTACTGTTGGCGGTTTGATGGACGAGGTCGACAACGCATAATTTCCCTCATTATCGCGCGACCCACCGCCACGACTCAAGAACCGACGCATTATCAAATCCGGTTTTATTTTTTATTTGCAGTGTTTTGCGATTTGGCTGTTAGACTAAAGCCGCGCGCAACTGGATAAGACGTTACGGAATCTGGGACAATATCTAAATCCTGTCTGGTCTACGCCCTCTGGGCATATCATTGCTGGCCGCAGTTGGTGCAGATGGACTGTCTCTGATGATTGATTCGAATGGAAATTCGAAAGGCCAGGCGAAAAAACTGCCTGTTCAATCGTTTGTATCCTCTTCTGGCTGTAAAGAGGGCCTGGAAGAGTGTGGACTCAAACTGGGCGTCCCAGTCAGTCACAACCCTGTGCGGGGCATCGAAAATGGCGACCCAACGAATAACGAAGGCCTTTATGATGGTGTCGACTTCGACATTTGATAAGGGAATGACTTCAACCCAACTTTTACACTGACCGACACTTGCAAGCAGGTGTTTATAGCCATTCGATGGGGCCAAGGGACCTACAAACTCCAGGCCTACGTTGTTAAACCATGCGTCCAGACTGAGTAATATGCCTGGTGGCGACTTTTTTGAAGCCGAACCTTGTCCGAGTTTCGACTCAGGCACGCCCATGTCCAATCTTTGACGTCCCTGTTCATGCCAGGCCCCACAAGCTTTTCTGCGGGAAGCTTCTGTGAAACTCGTATCCCGGAATGGTAGACTCCATTAGGAAACTGAAAGACAACGTTTCATACCATGGTAGGCACGAAGGGACAAGACGAAGGGGTTGAGGTTGTGCAGAGGATTGTACCACCACATATCGTCATTAGAACGTCCAGAAGCTGGAGATAACTAACAGATTCGTCACCAAGACAATCGACTCGTCGGTATTTAGCCGCCGTGGAGCTAATATCGATCGCATGTGGGAGCTGGAGTGAAGAACGGGAAGGTCTGGGTAACACATCAGCCACCCCATTCTTCGTGCCATCGATGTGGCGGATGTCAGTGGAGAATTGCAAGAAGTGACCAAAGGGCTATCTCCCTCAGATTGCACTTGTTTAAGCGGAGATGAAGAGCGAATGTCAAAAGTCTGTAATCCGCGAAAATCTTGAAGTCGCGACCTTCACGGAAGTAGTGGAAGCGCTTCACGCTTAAGTATGTGACGAGAAATTCGTAACCAAAGGTGCTATAGCGTGTTGCAGCCAGGGAGAACTTATTGGAGAAAATAGCCAAGGGCAGGGTCGAATGAGTAAAGAGATTTTGGAAAACTCTGCCAACAGCTGCTGCCGAAGCGTCTAACATCACCTATGGCGGAACGACGGCGCAACCATGCGCCGTGTAGCCGGCCAAGCCGGCCGCGGCATGTTAATTCGGGCAGTCGATTACCGTGTGCTGATGTATAGAGCACGCATGATGCCTTTGCTCATGCGTGCGGTGGATCGAGTATTTGACACTTTCTCGCAAAGGATTCTCGTGCTCGAACCAGCCAACCGACGACCGGCACGCGACAGGCCAGAAGTTTCTGGAACGCTTAGGGGACCAAATAAGTAGGGCGAGTCTGGATAGAGGATAAACCCTCGTGTTATTACCGACAAAGACAAGGGAGACTGGAATGGCCATTTCTGACTTATTAGCCGTCGTCAGCCAGTCATATCAACCACGAAGTGTGGAACACCTGAGGTTCGATCCCGCGACCTGTTAGTAAGAAGTCCAGCGCCTATAACCACTGAGCCACGGGCTTGTTGTCTTGTCGGTTGCGATCCGGAGTATACGATGGTAGAGGGACGCTCACCGATCGTTTCTACGGAACTCACGCGTTCCGTTGTTCCTTACGGGCTCTCTCACGAGCTCGGGGCTGGGTATGGCTGGCTGACGACGGTTAATAAGCCAGAAATGACCATTCCAGTCTTCTTTGTCTTTGCCGATAATAAAATTCTGCCTATATCATGTGCCGCTGTGCGGCTGTTGGTTGGGCTCGAGAGAGAGAGCACTCGTAAGGCACATCGGAGCGAGTGAGTTCAGTAGAAACGATCGGTGAGCGCCCCTCTACCATAAACCCTCGTGTTCGCACGCTGCTAATAAATTGCTCGCATTCCGAACCGGCTCTTTTTCAGTTCCATCTACCTGTTGGGTAGTAACAATTTCTCACCATCAGCTGAAGTGGATTCCGAGCTCCCGAAAACTACAGAGGAGAAAGGGGTGACTCTCAAGCGGTCTGGTCGTATTAGTAGTCTCGCGCTGCACTATGGACTGATGAGAAGTCATCCCGTAAGCATGCGTGAAGCGAAAACGTTGGACAAGCGAGAAGACTGTCTTTCCGTCCTTCCCTCTTCCGCCATGTAGTCGTGTCGCCTCCGGCATAATGAGTTTGTATGTCGGAAACAATGAGGACCACCGTTGTACCGAAGACAACGTAGCGTCGAATTCAGTGCAACTTTGGCTTTAATTAGGCCGACTTACGATGCACCCACCTCACATTTCCGTTTAGTATCCACTATGTTCCACTGAGAAGGTTGAATCAGGGCGACAGGAGATTAGCCTGAGTGGAGTGGCTAGCGAGGGTGAAAACACGTCTAGCGCAGCATATACGAACTGGTCCTAGATTCGCAAGACCGGTTGCGGCTGAATGAGAGCTCCTACTCGCATACTTCTATCCTAATCCCGTTCTCGACTAAAACCGAATGCTTTCTGGCATTGTTATCGTGATGCAAAATTTGTTAAGTACGATGCATTCCAGTCCGAATGACATGCTTATTAATTTGCCTGAGGCTCAATGAAGCGCTTATGACCCAACTGCAAGGCTACGTCAGGAGGCCATCTGAGCCGTGTACTAGGGCATATTTGTGTTTCTGGTCTCAGGGTTATGAGTAGCCAGATGAAGGCAGAATGGGCGCGAAACAATTCTACATCAATCTGCCTGCGTTCTATGTCGTCCCTCTTATCTCAGAATCGAGCGCGCCGGATTTGTTATAGTAAAGAATGCACTGATTTAATGTCGGTCCCACTCTCTCCTTCTTCCGGCTCCCGTGCATCGGTCGAGTGTCAGTCAATGGGTGGCGGAATCGCACGCAGTTGCTGACGTGGCGTGAGGGCCTAATGTAAAGGAGTGTCACACGATAGTTCGACTGTCGTTGCCGACAATGTCCACCGTGTGCTCCACAACAGGCACGGTGACTTGCGTGTGAATTAGTTTATATTGATAGTAGACTTGCACAACATCTACCGCATTCTCTCCTCCTCCTCCTCCTCCTCCTCCTCCTCCTCCTCCTCCTCCTCCCTCACCCGGACCCAGTGTCAAGACAAAGTGAAGGTAACCGGAGACGGGGAGGGATGGCGCTGGTGGATGGCACAGTCGAACCCGCACCTGGGCACTCCATTCCACTCCCCCTGGTCCACACAGCAAATGACTAGAACTTTGGCCAACAACAACAGAAAGGGCTGGCGAGACCGAAGCCGCACCTAGGCGTGCCGCCCTACCCGGTTCGGACCCCATGGAGTTGGAATGTCATAAAGGCCACATTATGAGGGAGAAATTGCAGCCTGACTCTTAGACCAACAGTCGGCCGCTCCATACAAACAAAACACTGGGCCGACTGCGAGGTGCAAGTTATCCCGTCCTTTAGCAACCTTCCAGGGAAGATGTGGTTATGGTGTGGCTGCGGCCGTCTTCACTATCCTCCTTCAGGTCGGTCGGTCTCGGTTGGCCGGGTTGATCTGTAGACGCTTCAGCGAAGTCTTCAGAATGTCCTTGTAGACGATTGAGGAGGATGCAGGCGAACATTTTCCCGACGATTTTCAGTAATGAGATGCCTCTGTGATTTTCACAGAGTTGCCGGTTCCCTTTGCGCTTGTAGCGATGAACTTGTTCACGACGCTACATCTCCTAAAGTAGCGTCGTTAGTTCGTCCATCAGTCGGTGACCGCTGTGCTTGTAGATTTCGGCTGGGACTGCGGCGGAGCTTGGTGCTTTCCCATCGAGAGTTGTTAGTCGGTGTGGAATGTTTCTGGGGGAGGGGCGGGGGCGGAAGACCCAGGCCAAATTTAATTTCTACTTGGCGGAATCGGTCGATGACGGCGTCGGAGATAGACGAGGGACACTTGAAGACGCTTCTGAAGTGCTCGGCCCAACGCTTCAAAATCTGCGACTTCTCCGCCAAAAGCGCTGATCCATCGGAGCTGAGAAACGTTGCAGTCCCTTTGGTTGGAGGGGCGTAGATCGCCTTGATCGCAGAGAAGAAGTTTTTTGATTCGTTGCGGTTGACACACCCCTGGATGTCCTCGACCTTGCGAACCATCCAGGCGTCCTGCAATTCTCGCAACCATTGCTAAGCGAGGCGGCAACTGAGAGAAGGCCGCTTCGTTCGCATCGGTTGGACGGCCCCCTCCCCCTGTTGGGGGATAAGCAGTGCTGTCCATCAATAGGGCTACAAAGTCGCCCCAGACGGCTGCCACTCCCCACTATGAGTCACGTATTGGTTTAGAGAGAACGACCCGATTGGCCTGGGCCGCTTGCGTGATTGCATGACGTCTTCACCGTAGGACTTGTTGACCGTGGAGGAAGAGAGTGGAATAGAGAGGGGGGAGAGAGTGGGGGAAAGGGGGCAGAAGGTGAGGTGAGCAAGTGGGAGTGGAAGGGGGAGAGGAAGGGGAGCAGAGTTACCGCGTGTGGGGACACAGCCGGATATCCTCATCTGCTCTACCTCACCAGCCGACGCTAGGCAGAGCCTGGCTTCGAGGAGCCACATGTGAATATCACACCCGTAACTATGAGCACAAGCATTTCTCAAAGGAATGCATACGGATAGGACAGAACTGCGATCCAAGGGAACTCACTGTGCCCGGGCCAAACAAGACCTAATGTAGGGTCCGTAACGTAGCATGGCTGGTAGGACGCAGAAGGCGGCCGCTGACGACGGATTAAGGTGTGCAGTGAGAAAACATGGCTTGAAGTAAGCGAGCCTGGGTTTCAAATATATCTTGACTATCAACTTACCGCAGTTTTCCAGTGCGTAAGATAATAACAACAACTGAGCAAGGCTCCGATAGGAACTGCCGAGTGAGGAGACTTCGCAGCCAGCTTCCTTTTAAGCAGTCGGTCCAGGGTAGTTCGGAGCCGGATCGCAGCTGCCAGAGAACGTTGGGCGGCTTTCTCATCCAGAAGTTCTATTTCAGTCCACCGATCAGATAAGATTAGAGCGACGACAGTAGTTGTGGACTTGCGCGGACTCAGCGCTGCCCGAAAAACGCGTGCCGTGAACCAGTCTGACTCCCGTTTTGGCCAAGCGCAGTTACAGAGCGGTCGTATACGCCCATCCTCTCATATACAGGCACGACTACACACAAAAACACACACACGTACAACAGTTCGACCGCTGCATCCAACGATGTCCATCGTATGCTCCACAGCATGGTGAGAGCAGGGACGGTGACTTGCGCAGGGGTTTATAGTGTCAGTAGACTTGCGCTGCATCTCTTCTTCTTCTTCTTCTTCTTCTTCTTCTTCTTCTTCTCCTCCTCCACCACCACCACCACCACCATCTGAGCCCCGTGTCAAGACAGAGTCAAGAAGACCGGAGATGAGGGAAGTTGCATGCGGATGGCTTGGACGGATCCACACCTTGGCGCTCAACTCCGCGCCCGCTGGTCCACACAGAGAATGGTCAGGATTCTGACCGACAAAACAATGGGAGTACGGTGGTGGTTCCAGTTTGTGCGACGACTGTGGACAACAGGGACTGCCAGCGCACCCCCTAGATGTTGGCCTCTGTTATTGCGCAAGATAACGCCTGCCAGGTGGCCCCCGGGCTGGTCCACCGCGTCTAACACGTGGCCCGTTTGGGGGTCACACACACACACACACACACGACAGTTCGGCCGTCGATTTCGACGATGTCCACCGTGTGCCCCACAGCTGCAGCAGCGGTGGGAGCAGGGACGGTGACTTACGCAGGGGTTTATAGTGCCAGTAGACTTGCGTAGCATCTACCTACACTCTCTCCTCCTCCCCCGCCTGAGCCCGGTGTCAAGACAGAGTCAAGAGGACCGGAGACGAGGGAGGCCGCAGGTGGATAGCTCGGACGGATCCTCGCCTTGGCGCTCCACTCCGCACCCCCTGGTCCACACACAAATGACCAGGATTTTGACCACCAAACAATGGGGTGGCGGCAGTGGTCCAGTTGAGCGACGAATGCCGACAACTGGGTCCGCCAGCGCACCCCGCATATGTTGGCATTTGTTAGTGCGCACAGATAACGCCTGCCAGCGTCCGATGTTGCCCCTGTGTTGGCCCAGCGCATCTAACACGTGGCCCGTTTAGAGGTCAGACACATACACACACACTCACTCACTCATCAGTTGGCCTCGCTAGCGGCCACTGCCGCTTTAGACAGCAGCCCAGGTCTCTGCACGCACCTTCTCCCCCATCCTGGTGCTTTCCGTCCTCACTTAAAACTGACTTGAACTGAGGACCGTAGCTGATAAATGCAGGTCAAATCATGTTAGCGTTACTTATTTGAACAGGCACTGGCAGCCTTCTCAAGTTCATTTTTCCCAAAATAAAATAGACAGTAAAAGTGCAAGCAAACAACCAACTGTTTTTTTTGGAATCTTCAAATGACAACGCAAGCCGACGGCAGCCTTCACACGGTTCATTCAGTTTAGTTTTATTAAGGGGAGGGTTGGAGAACGCCTTTGAACTCCTAATTGGTTATAATAACGTCATGAAAACAGTACGTAAGGAAAGTTGGAAAGAAGAGTAGCTGAACAATTACATGAAGCAAGCTGTATTCTGAAGGGTTACGAACACCACGCAGATTCCGAATTGGGATAGAAGACTCGCAGTGGCCAATAGCAGCGCCGTATGAAAACTGTAAGCAAGAGACAAAATACTTCGCGGTGAAAACTAATTCACACACAAGTCATTGCGCCTTCTCTCCTCCTGCTGTGGAGCACACGGTTGACATCCTCGGCAACTTTCAAGGCATCTATCGCACTCTCTCTTCTACTCCCACCCGAACCCCGTGCCATGACAGAGTCAAGAAGACCGGAGGCGGGGGAAAGTGCTGGTGGCCGGCACGACAAGAACCTGCACCCAGGCGTGCCATTACACCCTCTGGTCCACAACTGACACGAACCAGGATTTTACACGTCAGCAAAAAGGAGAAATGGCTCGGATCCCATTAAGTGAGAGTGCCGTAAAGGCCACACTAAGAAGGAGCCATTGCAGCCTAACTCTCAGCCATCAGTCGCTCATTTTACGCAGACACACACTGGGCTGGCTGTGAGGTCCGAGTTATCCCGTCAGTTGGCGAAATTACAAGTCACGGCTTCTAGCGCACCGTGATAGATTCATGCGCGTCAGATTGTTTATAGTGATGAATATAGGCTGAGACCGCCGACCTCATTCTCTCTTTCCACTCCCAGACATCAGTCCATTGTCCGAGCCGGCCAATCAACTGATGCTGAGAATCGGAGAGGCGACTGGCAAAGGTGAGAACAGTCCATCCGCGCGTGCCACACACACACACACACACACACACACACACACACACACGACCTAGCCCCCACAACAAACCGGGATTTCACGCAAGGGGGTGGGTTGCCTACAATGATGTTTCAGGAGATGTGGTGGCAAGGTCACGTTCCCCAGGATCTCGATAACGCGAGTATCGTCCATTTCTTTATCCGTAAAAGGACTCGACAAATCTGTAATAACAGCAGAGGAATTTCGCTGCTCAACATTAGTGGAAAAATCTTCGCTCGCCTTCTTCTCAGACGTCTCAACCAGCATCTCATACAGGAACTTCCACCGGAAGGTCAGTGTAGATTCCGACACCACTGCGAAACCACCGACTTGATCTTCGCCGCCCGCCAGCTACACGTGAAGCGTCAGGAGATGCGGACACATCTCTACACTAACTTCGTGGACTTCAGGAAAGTCTTCGACAAGGTGAATCACGATGAACTCTGGAAGATCATACAGAACTGATTCACGCACATAATGAATCAAATCCACGACGGGATGATGGTGCACGTCACGAACAATGGGACCGTCTCAAAAGCATTCCAAGTGACCAAGGAAGTGCAGCAGGGCTGCGTACTCTCTCCCGCCCTCTTCAGTCTCGTGTTCTTTGCCATGCCAATGGACTCCTGCAGTGACAAGCGCCCTGGGATCAACATCGTCTACCGGACCGACGACCACCTTCTCAATACCCGATGCATGCAAACCGAAACTCGTCTGTCTTGTGAAGGGCTGCCTATTATCATTTTCTAACGTTGATCGACACGAATACACACTGGTGAGAGGTCGTCTTCAATTGCCCAGCTATCCCTTTTTTGTGACAAAGCAGGCTGTTGTTGTTGATCGCCTTTTCTTAGGTTGGGAGATAATGGGTGTCCAGTTATGGATTCTAAGCGAAGGTTGTAGGATGTCACATCATTTGCCTCGTGCGGTTGGTGACTACGCCTATTGCCCATTAAATCAACTCAACTCTTACCTGTGGCTCCTTAAATTTATGTTCGGCCTTGCGACCACACTCCGGTAACCGCCTCGACCGGCGAGCTAAACTGGGTGAGGGTATCCGGTGCTGTTTGTGTCCTCACACCCGGGAACTCTGCTTCCCTTCTCATCTCCCCTCCCTCTCCCCACGTCAAAAGGTCATACGAAGAGGGCGACATGCACCCACCGTAGGCGATCCAGGCTAAATCAGGTCGCTATTTCACTAACTCAAGCCGTGACTCATAGTGCAGTTCGGAGGCCGTCTGGAATGTCTAAGCGGCCATATTTATGGACAGCACTGCTTGCCTCCTGGTGGGGAAGGGGCTAGAAAAAGTACCCTAAAATACTGCGATCATGCCATCTGTACGCAGACCGCGGCTCCCAGATGGATAACTTGTGGACGAAACAATTGGAGAAACAAAAACCCACGACCGCATTCTCCCGCTCCGCCCCGTCCCACCCCCCACTTTGGCAGTCTGGAATGTTCGGTCCTTTTTAGAAAATCCGAAGAGGAGTCGGCCAGAACAGATGAGGGCTCTAGTGGCAAGATTGATGGTTCGTAGCACTCTCAAAGCGCTCGGTCACCGCTCGAGGATCTATGTCTTTTCGGGCAACCGTATTATTCCTCCCGTGTTGAGCAGCCACGAAGTTCAAGTAGGTTGTGACCATGATGGTCCTCTGTTCTTCTCCGCTTCTGACCCAACCGGGCGTTTTGTAGGCTCTCAAATAGCATTATAGTGCCTTACTTTACCCGGCAGTTAAACCAGAATGCTAATTACGTTATGATGCGATTTGCGCGGCGGACCAGTCGTCTTGAAGTTGTGCCACTTTCTTGGACCCAGTCATTTCGTGTACGATTTTTAAACTGTACTTCACTTTCTAAATAGTTCCCCTGCAAATCTCATTCCATTGATTACTGAACGCCCGACCATATAGACTTGGGATGCTAAAAACAACGGTTTAGACGCTCGCTCGGATCAAAAGAGAACGACAAATGCAGAGAGGCAGACCCCCGCTGGGAGCAAGTGCTAGTTTTTAAATCTTGTTCATGCCCACTTCAACCCCCATGACGTTGACCAACATTGGCCTTAAAACATGCAAACTCACCGGGCCGGTGGTCTGAAGCTACCCCTCTCCCCCTGGTAACATCTTGGACGTTGTCACTGTCCTGTGATGCAAGCTTGTTTTCCTTCCCAGAGCAAACAAGTTTCCGACGTCTGATGACAGGGCTCAAGACCAAACGGCCACTGACCAAACCGCACAGCAGCCAAGCAAACAGACGCAGACAGACAAAGATGAGGCGACTGGACCGGTAGCTGCTTTGGAGTTATTAATGTCTTCCGTCTGATGCCTTTGACAGGAAGCATGAACTTGATAACGCCGCTCACGTCCCGATGGATCACTAATAGTACCTGGCTGTACTTTCCCTGCTGCTACCACATCGATCCCTGCCTGGCAATACTGTTACATTAGCGATTACAGATCCTTCCCGTGCACGTGCCAGCCTGCCACCAAGGTCACTGGCTTGAACACGATCGATTTATTTCCTGGCCCGCACCTACTGAAGGGACAGAAGGGGACAGCATGCTTTGGGGACTACGCATCAGAAATTTTTTGTTTCTGTAAGTAATGAACATTTATTATTTGCATAAGCATGCCTACCAGTGGGTCTTGTAGTATTTTGAGCAATGCCGAAAAGTATCCAAGTTAACCATTTGTCTGCAGACTGTTATCAGACTGTTTGTCAGAAAACCGACAGGACAACGGGCTAGTGGACCAGTGGTTATAGGCGTGGACTTCTAACTAACAGGCCGCGAGTTCGAGCCTCGGGTGTTCTACACTTCGGGGTTGGGTATGCCTGGCTGACGACGGTTACTAAGCCCGAAATGGCCATTCCAGTCTCCCTTGTCTTTGTCGGCAATAACATACTGTTGTCAGATATACCCGAACAAACCCATGCAGTGTAGATAAGGTAAAGCTGTCGTCGTGACTTCAGGGAACGTTAGGAAATTCGGATCGTATCCGACTTCAAAATTACGTACTCAGTCACATGGAAGTAACGTTCAGCGACCCGGCTACAGGACCGAAGTGATCATTCCCCTTTTGTTTTGGAATGCCTCTAGTTCATGCCTGCGGTCGCATAAAACTATTAACTAAGCCAGAAATGACCTCCACACTTTCCCTGTCAGTATCGGTAGCACCTCCTGGGTAACAAGTCATCCTGAAGTCGGCTCAAGATCCTTCTAGGTATAAGATCACATTAACAGTCGATGCTAACTATGTGCCCTGTTTGAAAATCACCTCACGAGTTCTAATCTTCCTGGATATTCTGCCTCAGTTCAGGGTCCTCGGAAATGGACGGAATCAGCCCCTGTGAACCCGTGTAGAACGGCAGTGACTATGCCCTTGTTGTAAGGTTACGATAGAGATAATGGAAGTGTTCATAGGACCATGATCAGGTTGATCAGGCTGTATTGTTTAACCGAAAGTGATTTATTTGTTCCCATTTCGGCTGGATCGCAGTTGGTAGCCAGGAATGGGGAAGCGGACGGCGGTCTTAACCCTAATCCTAACCTTAGCCCTAACCCTAACCGAAATCGTAAACGTAACAGTAGCTCTTAGTCATAGTCCTAACTGTAAAACCTAACCGAAATACTGAAACCCTAACCGCAACCCGAACACCTAAGCCTAAAGGCCTAACCCTAACCCGAAAATCGGAAACCATTAACCGGTACCCTAATACTACCTCAAACGTAAAACGGAAGTCAAATGGTTAAGGTTAGGAATAGTGTTAAGGTCGCCGTCCACATCCTCATTCCTGACTACAAACTGCGATCCAACCCCCATTTCAGCTAACAAAACGACATGACGAGAAGTGGTGACGCCTCATAATTAATAAACCTGACCTCTTACTGGCTGGGTCATAGTGTTTTCTCATCTTCCTTCAGACACTCTCCAACTTCCTTTCCCTGTTGCATTTTGGCGTGGGGGTGTTTCGGTATCTCAAGTCAGAATCATGATTTTTTACAGTTATGCAAGTACCGCGGACTAGTAGTGTTGCCAAGCTGCATCCGACATGTCAGCAGCTCCGGAGGCAGAACATTTGTTTGTCTGCCAAATGGCGTCTCTAAAATTGATCTCAGATTGGACTTGGATATGAATGTGAGGGCTTCAGGCACATCCACCTGCAAAGAACACAAAGGAAGTGTAGGTTTATTAGCCTGCTCTGTCGGTCTCATACAGGGGGCCACCATCAGAGAACATGAAGGGTGCAACAACAGTTGTAGTCAGACATTGAGAGGGGGTGGAGACGAGGGCAATGTCCGCGACTGGGCTGGGTCCAGGCCTTCTAACTCGTGGCGGTCACTGTGTACTTGTTGCTGCACTCTGATAATGGGTTCCTGTACGAGTCCGGAAGCTCAGGCTAATACACTTACCGTTCCAGCGATCGTGCCGTCATCTTCTTTGCAACGAGGAACCGGGATTTGTCTGTTCGCCTCCATTCGTAGGATCGATCGGGTTAGCAAACTGCTCCCATCTACTCCCCCGTCACGTTCTCCTTCCTCTTATTCATCTACATACACTCCGATTCATTGTGTTAACGGAGGTTTGGCCTTTTTCCCACAATATTACATAACTGGCTAGAACTCTCTCCAAGCATGACTGTACGCGAATGCACTCATCCACTGTGGCTAGGTAGTAGGACACCTCCCAATTGTGAGGAACCCCACCAAATAAGCATTTTGAGAACTTGCGGGATAGGTTGTCATAAAATACCTGCCGCCAGTTATACACTTGGCGCACCGATAGCCGGAGTGGTGTACGGATGATCCTCATTTCTTGACATTTTTTCAATCGGTTGCAGGGATACGAAAACTAAATTGGCGGTTCTATGCCTTTTTACCGAAATGTACACTGACTTTCAGGAGGGAGTTCTCGCAGTGGGGGCAGAAGCAGACGGCTGAGTAGTAGTTGATAGAAGGATCTGCTAAAGTATATCGGGAAGGGGGATCCTCCAGTTATTTCCGCCGGCTTGCTGGTTTCCTGTGTTTGTATAGGTGAACAGTGTTTCACCAAAATCGTTCGATACTTGTTTTTGCCGGCACAGTTCCAGCACAATGAGGCAAACTTGTTCATGTCTTCAGAATCATCATGCCTGCAGATTTCGGCCACAGTTTTGATCCGACCGCAGACTTAACATTGGACATCTGTTGCAGCACTCCAGCTGTTTTCTGTGTGGAGGGCAGGCAGCTGAGGCCAGTAATGGTCTCTACTTGAGAAAGTCTGTTGGCAGAATGAAGATGATTGATTGAGGACGCAATTAAAATGCTTTACGCAAAGCTCCAGAACCTGCGATTTGTCTTTTAGTACGGTTATTCCACCTAACCTGGGTAGGGGGCGCAGTTTCTTTGGGTTTGGGAGGATAATACTCTGCCTTTATGAACACAAAGAATTTATGCATATTGCTACGACCTTCATCTGCCTGTCCTGTCTTACATTTATTCCACATCTCGCTCAACCTCCGTTGCAGTTGCGGACGGCATTGGAAGAAGAGGGCCACTCTATGGGGTTGTTTTGTTGCTCCTGTAGGCTCAGGTGATTGGGTTTCACTCGGATATCAGTCTCCGTATTTCATCAGACTTGTTATCGAGTCGGTTCTGGTGTTTTCGGTGCGGAGATCCGATGACCTCGTTGATGGCATTCCACAGTCTCTGCCAGCTGTGCTTAACGTCTTCACCATACAGTGGTTGTGTGCGGACGAGATCGGTATCCCTTTTATTAAGGTGTCTGCATGGAGATGTGGTGACAATACAGTCCACCATTCTGGACTTCAGTCCTGTTACAGGTCAGAGATCATGCTGAAACACTGAAGTGCGACGCGAACTGTGGCGGAGGCTACGCCGAATGGAACAGAGGGGCTCTGTAGAAGTTAATGCACTGCCGAAGGGGGCGTGGGCGGACGGCATCGTCGAGAACTCGGTTAAAAAGTGGCCGGTCGCTGTAAAGTATGGTTGCACTAGAGTAATGACTAAAAAGAAATAAGAATCACGGCGGCAGAAGGGAACGTGCGAAGGACATAGCTCGAGGTGAGAACTTCTTTTTTTTTAGTAAAGCCGGAAGGATGACAGCAGAACCGTGAGGAATAAGAGGCAGGATGCTGGTATTTACAAGTCGGGGGTGTTGGAAAGAATTTCCACATTTCCACAGTTTAACATTAAGAAGCTTTGAATAGTTAATTAGACTGTAGTCAGTCGAATCATCGGCATGAATGTTGAGGCAAACAGGGTCTACAAAGTCCAAAGGAAAAAAGAAGCATGGGCCCACGCAATTAAAATTATATCATAAAAGAGCAAGCTATTCACAAGACGGTGAAACAAGATACGAAGAAGATGAAAGTGTGATCACTTGAACCACAGGTTTATTATTCAGGGCTTTCGGGCTCATACAGGAGGCCATCATCAGGAACTACGAGAGTACAACAATAAGTGAGAGTCATTTATGGTCAATCAATGACGGATGGTAGTGGGGGGAGGGGGTAGTGTCAGCCACCGGACTGGGTTCTTGCCGCCTAACTCATAGTGGTCCCAAGGACTGGTGACGACATGCCCCTTGGCTGAGAACGGGACTGCGCCACGCTGACGCGTGGGCGTAGCATGTAGGAGCAGGGGGGGATGGTTAGGTAAATCAGCGTGCTCATTAGTGTAGTTGGTGTCGGACACCCGGGTTTCTGATAACTTTGTCCTGTCTTATTGCTGGTTTAGGCCATTATTCGCGTGCTTGTGAAATTTAGTTCTTGACCTTTCCCTAAGGTGTGAGTGGCGGCTCTGGTTTGTGCCTTCCTCTTGTAATCCACGCGATCCATCATGACGGTTGTTCTTTCTTCCTTGTTCCTTTTTTATTTCTTCACTGTTCCTATGTGCGCGTGAACACATTGTTGACGTGCTTCTCGACATCCGTGGGGAGGTGACTTTTTGGTGCACAATGTGCTTAGTCTCGTCGATCGCGCTGTTCTTACTAACATGGTCTCAAGTGCCGCGATGAAGTCGGCTGGTTTGACGCTCGCTATGCTAAAATTGGCGTCGTAACCCAGCACTCCCGATTCTTACTCGTTTGCCTACTTGGGCGATAGGTTGTATGCCACACTTGTTATCACGGCTGCAAAGACAAATGTTTTCGTATAGCATCCCCCTACCAGGAGAAGGCATTTCCGGTTATCAATGACTGCCCATTTGAAAAAGTGGACAATTTCGTATGTTTCATGACGAAATTGCCAGAGAAAGGAGAAAATTTTCGGCAACATCTTATTTCATAGCCCTACCTGTTAGGGGTCAGGGTTAGGGGTTGGGGTTTGGGTTTAGGGTTAGGGGTTAGGCTGGGGCTTGTTTAAGGTAGGTACGACTACGAAATAAGATCCGACCTGCACTAAACAAGCCCCAGCCTAACCTCGAACCTCGACCCCTAATCTTAACCCCAAACCCTGACCCCTAACCCCTAACCCCAACCCGTAACCCCTAACAAGTAGGGCTACGAAAAAAGATGCTGCGCAATTACCTTTTCATTTCCTCCATTCTGCCAACTTCGTCGATCGTTACTTCCTCTTTCACATAAGATCGCCAGTTTGGCCAATCCCATGAGGGTGCCTTTCATCATGCCAGTACGTGTGAACCCCTGCCGCATAGGCACGCACATTCGAACTCACGTTTGGGGCTTGCGCTCCTAGTAGATACTGTCTTCATCATAGTTTGTCTATGTCCCAGCCTTAATAACTAAAAGGTCAAGCAACACATAACACCTGGCATATTCTCTGAAAAAATCTCCTGACTTACGTGTTTGGCGGCAACATTGAGGTCCATTCATCGTCTAGACCTTTACAAAACCTTTTTTAAAAAATCTATACAACTGATACAACAGTGGAATGGTTGCCAAGAGGCGGTTTTACATGCTGCATATTGCAACGAACAGATTTTGTAAGGTCTGCTCGTCTGCCATCTAAATTCGTATATATTTCACACAGTTTAGCTGCTACGATCTTTTCTGTTGGGTTAAAATTTTCATTATAAAAATTCAGGCACGCTTCTTGTCCTTTAAGCACTGGAAATTAATTTCGGTGTATTCTAACAGGAACCAGAACAATAAGCTCACTCAGAATGAGCGAAAAAAAATCAAGCCCACGTTTACGCCGGAGTACTTGGGCATGCTCACGCACATCTTCTTTGCGGAACTATTTGGTGCCTGCATGACCACCTTTCCGTGCCTGTTAATGAACAAGGCCAACAAGTACAAACCAGTCTGTGAGGCCATGTCAATTGGCGCTGCAGTCTATGCTGCCGTCTGGATGGTATATCCCATTAGCGGGGCCCACCTCAACCCCTGCATCTCTCTGGCCTCCCTACTGACTCGACGGATCCGCCTCATTCACCTACCAATCTACTGGAGTGCTCAGTTCTTAGGCACACTGATGGCCATCTCCTGTGCCTACCACATCACGAATCTCAAACAGGGTGACCCCGAGTTCGGCATGAGTCTGCCTACACATCCGCTCACAGACCTACAAATAGTTGGCAATGAGGCAATGATTACAACGCTCTTACTATTCGTCGTGCTGTCTGGTGAGGATGAAATGAGGACTGACATTTGGACCTCCGGCAGTGGTGTCAATGTGGCCATAACCTATATGCTGATCCATTTCGTGACCATTGTTACGTCGGTAGGTTCAAGTGTTGTTAGTATTTTCATTTGAACTTACATGAAAATTACTCAATTTCTACTATATTCATTATGACAGCCATCCATGAGCGCGAAAACTACCTCCTCTGTGCGTCGGGAGCCCAGTTAAAAAAAACTCAGAGGACACGACAGACGCTCAGTTCAGTTATCCGTGTTTACTTGACCGTCAACATACTCCGAGCATTGAAAAAAGGACAGTTTGCATAGGGACTTTTATGGCATAGGTGGGGAGATGGAGAGCAGAGGAGAACGTCATTATGTTCGAGTATCATCAACTTTGGCTTGCAAGCCACTGAACCCCTTGTTTGTCGAACATGTCCTCGTTCACATTAACAGAATCCCCGGTCCTCAAGTATGCTTGCCATTCAGTAAATCCTTGTATTTCAAAAGGGCATGCCCACGCGTATCTGCTGTGCTTCTCTTCTATGCACCCCGTCTGATCAATACTGTCAGAAGGAGCGACGGCCCTCTCCGTCGTATTTTTAAGCTCCGTTGTGTATTCACTATTGTGAAAAACGTTTAAACCACGGATAAGAAATGTCTTTTGAGAACTGGGACAACAGAAAAGTGCTTCAAAAGTTAAAATCGACTGTTAACCACACTATGCTTTCGAGAGTCCTTTGGTCTCTTCCCCGGGCACAGCATTGATGTGTTTTTGTCATTAGATTCACGCGCTGCAGAACCGATTGTGTGCCACATAATTATTGTCGGAATAGGGATTTTACAGTACGGAAAGAGCAAACGTAAGCTCATTTTTCTGTCCCCAAAGTTGTCT